CTGTCCACAAATCCCCCATCAACAAATAGAAAAAAAGTTTCATATTACTATTATCCAAAGGGAAAAAAAATAAAACCATTAATAATAATAATAATAATAATAATAATATGTAAAAAAAATAATAATAATCTAAATGCCTTGCTGTCCACAAATCCCCCCTCAATAAATAGAAAAAAAGTTCAGATTGTTATTATCCGAAGACAATAATATGTAATAATAATTATTATTATTATGTAAAAAAATCTAAATATCCTGTTGTGTCCACAAAACCCCTATCAACAAATAGAAAAAAGTTTCAGATATCTATTATCTGAAGACAAAATAAAATAAAATAAATGTAATAATAATAACAACAGCAATAATAATAATAATAACTTAATATTTTAACATAATGAAAAGTTAAGATTAATATGGTCACAGCCATTTAATAAATATGTTAATACAATGTTTAGTGACTTTTATGATTGAGAAAAATTAAAGGTAAAATATTTTAGTTAAATTAGTGGACTTAAACAGGACTTTTACGTTCACTCAAATCCTTTAGAGAAAAAAAAAGAAAGCCTTTTTTGTATCCCACTGGCTTTAGTCCATTGCCCAGATGGCCAAAACTAACCTGATGCAGTCATTGACATTGTTTGAAACCCCATAATCCACATCTTGATCTGCAGCAGAAATGATTGAGGTGAACATGTAAATATTAGGATTATGTGATTTAAGTCAATATAAGGTGTAAATCCCCACAGACACTCAAATATTGGAGGTATATGATTTCACCAGAGCCTTGGCCGAGTAACAGTACTTTAGCTGTATAAATTCAACAAGCTACTAAATCCCTGGCCTGATTTTCATGATTAAATATTTGTAAATCTGTACGAGTGATTGGAAGAGATGCTGAATTTTCCACTGCAAACAAACAGATGAAGAGATCAGTCACCAATCTGACAACAAACAGACGTTTTCTTCAGATAAAATAACGTTTATTTCACAAAAATATAGACAGAGGAATAATAAAACAGCTTATGTTGTACAGAAAAAAAAAAAAAAAATTATATATATATATACATACACATTTACTGCAAATGCCTTTATGTTCACCTTCCCCTATTTGACAGGCAACAGTAGTCCAATCTTATACGAATACATCTGGATTTGACGTCATACATGCAACATTATAAAAATTGCAGAGAGGAAGCGGGAAATATACACATTTTTTCTCCAAGAACCTGTCCTGCTTGAAGTATAAAGTCTCTCCGTCCTGCCAGTAACAGATGATTGCTGATCGATTGGCTTGTTTGCTTTGGTTAGCTTTTCTGGAATCGTGCATCAGTTTCCTTCAGCGCCAGAATGAATTTCTCTGATGCAAGACTTGATGGTCAGTGTGGAGTGACTGTAACACACAGCCATTAATGAGTGCGTTTACAGATGGAATCATACCATAGAGGGCTAAAAATAAAGAATCAGCGGTAAGAAGATATTTTTAGCGTGTTTCAGTGTTCAGATGCTTTGCTGAAGCCGTTCTCAACTGGTCACGACCCAAACGTGCTGAATGCGAAAAATAAGATGCAACAAACCATACAAGTGTGCATATCACAAACGCATGGCACACAATAAAAAATAAAATAAAAACTATGAAATATGTATTAAACGATTAGTGGAGTTTATTTTTATGGCTCCCAACGCATAGAAAAGTGAATATTTTGTGTGTTGTTGTGCCTGAGCAGTTTATGGCTATATTAAAACATTTCCATATTTGAATTTAATCATTTTTGTTTACTTTGCATGATAAACAAATTTAGGCCTTTGCTGTAAAATAAAATGAAATATATTTAAGCAAAAATAATTAAAGTAAAAATTGTAAACTGGGAAAAAAAGAACCTTAAATTACTGTTTTTTTTTTTAATGGTTATAAATTTTTCCACAATTTAGACCTTATGCTGTTTAAAATAAATTAAAAATAAAATAAAATAAATAGTAAAAATAAAGTAAAAATTTAAAACTGGGAAAAAATAATCTTAAATTACTGTTTTTTTATGCTTATAAATTATTATACAATTTAGGCCTTATGCTGTTAAAAATCAAATAAATTAAAAAGTAAATAAAATAAAAAGTAAAAATAAAGGGCTACTACTACTAAAGTAAAAATGTAAAACTGAGAAAAAAAAGGTATCTTAAATTACTGATTTTTTAAAATTATTATACAATTTAGGCCTTATGCTGTTAAAAATAAAATAAATTAAAATGTAAATAAAATAAAAAGTAAAAATGTAAAACTGAGAAAAAAAAAATCTTAAATTACTGATTTTTTTAATACTTATAAATTATTCTACAATTTAGGCCTTATGCTGTTAAAAATAAAATAAATTAAAAAGTAAATAAAATAAATAGTAAAAATAAAGTAAAAATTTTAAACTGGGGAAAAAAAGAACTTTAAATTACTGATTTTTTTTAAAATGCTTATAAATTATTCTACAATTTAGGCCTTATGCTGTTAAAAATAAAATAAATTAAAAAGTAAATAAAATAAATAGTAAAAATAAAGTAAAAATTTTAAACTGGGGAAAAAAAGAACTTTAAATTACTGATTTTTTTTAAAATGCTTATAAATTATTCTACAATTTAGGCCTTATGCTGTTAAAAATAAAATAAATAGTAAAAATTAAGTAAAAATTTAAAACTGGGAAAAAAATAATCTTAAATTACTGATTTTTTTTAATGCTTATAAATTATTATACAATTTAGGCCTTATGCTGTTAAAAATCAAATAAATTAAAAAGTAAATAAAATAAAAAGTAAAAATAAAGTAAAAATGTAAAACTGAGAAAAAAAAAGGTATCTTAAATTACTGATTTTTTTTTTAAATGCTTATGAATTATTCTACAATTTAGGCCGTATGCTGTTAAAAATAAAATAAAATAAATAGTAAAAATAAAGTAAAAATTTAAAACTGGGAAAAATAATCTTAAATTACTGATTTTTTTTAATGCTTACAAATTATTATAAAATTTAGGCCTTATGCTGTTAAAAATAAAATAAATGAAAAATAAAATAAAATACATTTAAAACTGGGGGGGGGGATTAATAAATTACAAACCCAGCCAACCAACTGCTTATAAATTATTCTATATTATTATCAAATTTTGGATTCCCCCTTTTTATCAATTTGTTTTCTTTCAATCAGCACAGGCTTGATTGATCATAGGTCTTGTTGATCTGGGTTAATGCACAGTTTTTGAGCCAAAAAATAAAATGTATTTGTGGATAATTTTGGCAATGTTCACTCAAAAACTGATTCACTCATAAGCTGATGCATAAGCTCAGACCAATGAGGTCTACAAGCAAGCAGTTGCAAAAAGAAATACAAAAGCTGTGAGAATTGAAAGAAAACAAGTACACAAAAAATGTAATCCAATATTTGGCAATAACATAAAATAACAATAAATCTATAAGCAATTTTTTGTAGGCTGGTCTTTTTTTTTATTTTGGGTGGGAAATAAATCCCAAAATCATCCATTTTTGGGGGGAGGAAATCGTTATATCCTGTGTGAGCAAAGTCAGCAAGTTTTAGTCCAATGCAATAACATTAAAGTAGCATTTTTGGGAAAAAGAAAATCCTTTCCAGGTCAAAATGACGGGAACACAACATGAGGGTTAGTACTGCGTTGGATGTCCCATTTAACAGAGTCCTGAAACAAAACCAGTTGAGAACCAGCGATTTACTGGATGTTACTGATCATCAAGTCAATCAAATCCAAACTTCAGCCTAAATGAACATACTCTCACACGCAGGACGACTTTAATCAGAGCAGGGACAGAGGAATATATGACCGGCTAAACCAAGAGTATAGTCTCACATATGACCGACAAAACAAAACCCCTTTTCTTACAATGATTCACTGTTCAATCACAATCTATCTTAAAGTGAAGTATTATCAGAGCACCAATCTCATAGGCCACGTGCGTTATGAATACTACTGAAACACAAATCATCTTGCTGGTGAAACGTTAAGGCACACGGACGGCAGAGGTTATGAGCAAATGGTGCAAAAATGCATGAAGAAATGTACAAAAAACACCTCTTCAATGAATTATCAAGAAGAAATAATCACAGTGACATATCTGTAAAAATCCTAAAACTAAAAACCCAAGTTATTTTTTAGTTAAACTTTTGGTCTTTATGTAAAATTGCTGTTATCAACAAAAAAAAACAAATGAATATATAATTTGGTGCAAAAGCCAGAATAGGAATTTGTGTTTTTTAGAATGTGATATAAAAAACATTTTGATAAAAAAAAAAATTGATTAAAAAAAGGTACCTATGGAAGCTTACCACCGGATAGGGAGAGACATTTTTTTTTTAAATTCATTCATTCATACTTCTGACTTTTTATTCTCACAATTCTGCGTTTGAGTTTATATCTCACAATTTTGTCTTTTTTTCACAATTTTGACGTGATACTTTGTAAAGTTAGAATAGGGAGATATAAACAGTAGGGCTGGGTATCGATTCAGATGTCCCGATTCGATTCGATTTCGATTCGCAAGCTCTCGATTCGATTCGATTCTTAATTTTTTGATTACATTCAGTGAATATAGTTTTAATACAAATGCTATTGATATTTCTAAAAAATTAACAGTAAACATCAGTTTACAAATGGTGAATTAATAAAAATTAATTAAGAACCACATGCCTGTATTTTAAACCTATACTTTTTTTTGTAGGGGTCCTTTTTAAAAAAAAAAAAATATAAAACGATTAATCGAAAAATCGATTTTTTTTTTTGCCCAGCCCTAATAAACAGAATTGCAAGATATAAACTCGAAAATTTGAAAAAAAAAATTAAATAAATTGTGAGATATCTTCAATTCTGAGAAGTTGGAATTGTGAGATATAAACTCGCAATTACTTAATTTTTTACAAACAATTGTGAAAATGTAAACGTAGAATTGCGAGGGGGAAAAAAGCCAGAATTGCGAGAAAAAGAAAAAAACAGATTTGCGAGATTAAAAAAAAGTCAGAATTACTGTTTTCCCATGGATAAAAAAAAACAAGCTTCCATAGATGCATATTCCAGACATTAACCACTTTATGTCTTTCTTTGGACAACGTTCCTTATTTTTGTTTGTTTGTACCTATAGGAAGGATATGCATACTAAAATCTTATCATTCAATAAAATCATATATTTTCAAAGAATTACAAAAAACGCATGCATCGAGCTTTATGTCACTGGAGAGCAATGTACAACAGAACAGTATGCTGTATACAAACTATCATACAATATAACTGCATAAATGTATAGCGATATCATTTTATAGATGAGCTTCGATAGAATTTCATATTGTGAATATCTACTAGCTTCAACATAGAAACAATCAGCTTTAATCACCTTACAAATGTGACACCGTAAGACTGATTTACATTCATGTCTCCATTCAATCAGTCCAGAGAAACGAAACGCATTTATCGCATTGAGAACGCGATGCTTTAGATGCCACATCTGGCTGGGAACTCACCAGACGAAGCCAATCAACTGCAGATGTGTCCACCTGTTTTGAGCGGCGCTTTCTGAGAAGAAATCTCGCTGGAAGAAAGACAAAGCAGTCTTTGTCTCTCCACAGAAAGACTACGCTTCCTTCGCTGGAGCGCCGAGACAGCCAACCTTCTGTCTTCCAAAGATAGCAGCTGTCTAAAGGTGAAAGAGTGTCCATAATGCCCCGTGTGTCCGGCCAAATGCCTTTTCACAGCACAGCGTGTGTCAGAAGTGGAGTCCAGTGGAGTGCGGTGAATATCGGAAGGAAAAGAGCAATATAAAAAGATGTTTTTCATTGTCCAAGAATTTGCTGTGAAAGGAGAAGAGTAAAGGAGTAAGGAATTCCTTGTGTTTTTTCCATTGCATTGTGCTACATTGGAGACTGTACATGTTCACAGTTCACGGGACTCTGAGAGGCCGAGAGGAGAGGTGGATTGTGGGTAATGCTGATTCCCTATATACTGATGCCCTATGAGGGCCGAACTGGAGACGGCCAACTTCTCAAATCTAGAGGTAAACCACAAAATGAAACTCTTTTAGAGCAACGGTTCTGTAACAAAACACAATGTGAAATGTTTTAAACAAAACTAGAGTTCAACATTTTGGGGTCAGTTTATATTATTAACATTTATTTATGAAATGCATATTTTTTTATTCAGTAAGGACGCATTCAATTTATCAAAAGTGACAGTAAAGACATTTTATAACATTACAAATGCTGTTGTTTTGATTTATCATGGTTTTCACAAAAATATTTATCAGCACACCAGTTTTTGAAAATAATCAGCATATTAGAATGATTTTTTGAAGGATCATGTCAGAGTAATGATGCTGAAAATTCAGCTTTGATCACAGCAATAAATTACATTTGACAATATATTCAAATAGAAATGTTATTTTAAATTGTAATAATATTTCACGATTTTACTTATTTTACTGTATTTTTGATCAAATAAATACAGCTTTGATGAGCAGAAGAGACTTCTTTCAAAAACATTAAAAATCTTACTGACCCCAAACTTTTGAGCAGTAGCGTGTTGTATATATGTATATTTGTTGTATATTTTATATTTGCTTTGAACATAATATTTATATTGTCCTAAAACTTCTGTTTAAGTAATAAAATACTACTACTACTACTACTACTACTAAAGTCTACTTCCAAATTTTATAATCATTTATCCACCCTCATGTCTTATGAAGTATGAAAGCTGTTTTATTAAAAAAAAGAAAAAAAAAAATTTTTTTCCTCACAATTCTGCGTCAATTTTGTCTTTTTTTCACAATTTTGACATGTGATACTTTGTAAAGTTAGAATAGGGAGATATAAACAGAATTGCAAGATATAAACTCCCATATCTGAGAAAAAAAAGAAAACAAATATTTGAAAATTTGGAAAAAAAAATAAATAAATTGTGAGATATCTTCAATTCTGAGAAGTTGGAATTGTGAGATAAACTCACAATTACTTCTTTTATTTTTTACAGAAAATTGTGAAAATGTAAACGTAGAATTGCAAGGGGGAAAAAAAGTCAGAAAGCCAGTCATTGGAACAGTTCATGCAAAAATACAAATTTTATAATAATTTATCCACCCTCATGTCTTATGAAGCATGAATGCCGATTTATTAAAAAAAAAAAGAAAAATATATATATATTCATTCATTCATTCATTTACACTTCTCACTTTTTTCCTCACAATTCTGTGTCAATTTCGTCTTTTTTTTCACAATTTTGACAATGAATGCCGATTTATTAAAAAAAAAAAGAAAAATATATATATATTCATTCATTCATTCATTTACACTTCTCACTTTTTTCCTCACAATTCTGCGTCAATTTCGTCTTTTTTGTCTTTTTTTTCACAATTTTGACATTATACTTTGTAAAGTTAGAATAGGGAGATATAAACAGAATTGCAAGATATAAACTCCCATATCTGAGTAAAAAAAAGAAAAAAAAATGTAAAAATTGTAATATAAACTCACTGTTTTTTTTTTTCAGAAAATTGTGAAAATGTAAACTTAGAATTGTGGAAAAAAACTACACAAATAACTGCATACATACTTGGAATGACATGAGAGTGAGTAAATAATGACAATGTTCATTTTCATTCAACTATTAATTATTACATCATGTGGGAGAGTCAAGAAGATTACAGGCTAATATAGAGCAGACATCTCTCATATAAATCATCATGTTTACATCTTCACATTTTCCCACTTGAGTCACAAATTCAGATCTAAAGACGAATGAAAAGTCGCAAAGTTCAAAGTGTTCCTCTTCAGTTTTTTGCTACACTAATTTACAACATTCAAAGCTCATATAAAGTAGACTGTAAGTTAGCTATGACTGTAAATGGATCATGTGCTATAAACCACAGTTTTTGTCCTAATCAATAGCTTCACAGTTTTTTATATGAGCTAAATATGATCGTCACTCCTCTTTGAGAGCTCATGTACTCACATACGACCTCATTCAAACAACACCAGCAAAACCAATTTATATCAATCATAGATAAAACCATTCCTATGTTAATTCAGTTCCATGTCGATCACTAAACTCCACCCCCTTTGTTAACGTTACTCACTTAAACGAACAGAATGAGCCATTTCTACAATGCGTTCACTATTTTAATGTGAACTCTTTAGCTGCTATTGGAATTAACATAACACAAACAACTGAACTTTAAGTGATTAAAATATAAATTTATGTCATTTTAAAAATAGGTGTCTATTTTGAACAACTTGGCTGAGGTAGGATGCTAAATACATAAAGAAACAGAGGTATTTGTCTTGACTCGTTTGTAAATTACTGTCTCCACACCAGTCCTGCGGTCTATCTGCAAACCACATTAAACTACGCTACAGACAGAGTGCGCTATTTAAAAGCAGCAACTCCACAACACCATAAACAACACACTCGCCTGTTGACGGTGGTTTACAAACAATAAATCATCTCAAGTCGCTAATATTACTTATTCAGAATTAACGGATTAAGCTGTTTCTTGTTCAGAGCCGCAAGATGCCAAAACATTTCTTATGTCAAGCATCAGCAGTGACTATTATATTCCATACACACCCGAAACAATCATTTAGGGGATTCACTCCCAAATTTATATGCTGTTCTCACTCTCAAAATTTGCAGTGTGTATGTGACCTTTTGATGGTTTCCATTCAGAATGGATTTTCTTGAATCTAAGGAAAAGTCTAGTAGTCTAGTTGGTTTTGTTGACTGCATTTTTGACTGAGTTTGTTTTCTGTGCAGTAAAAATAGAGGACAGCCAACCAATGATAGATTCAAAGTATCAACATAGTAGCCATAAATGGATCGTTTAGAATGCTTTCTCTTCCAAACTGTTTAAACTGAGATGGGCCAATCGCCAAAACAGCAGACGGAATGTCAGAATGACGCCAGCTTACTTTAGATCGGTATGGACTTCATCTTCACCATGGAAGCCAGTTCTTGTTTCTTCACATTGTCCTGTTTTCTCTGTCTGACCCTATAAAGGGAACAATTAAGAGATCAGATAAAAGATTATCTCATGTCTCTGTCTAATTGTTGCAAACTGTTTGTATGGATTTAGTTACGAAATATGGATAAATGTAAATGAAGCACAACTTTTACCGTAGAAGTGTGATGACGGTTAATAACACAGACACCATGACCGCTGCAAACAGACCCAACAAAATCAACAGTCCGAGGCTTCCGTTCTGGTGAAATGATGAATCTGAGGCAAAAACAAAACACAAAAAAACAAAACATAATGAAACACAAAACAATGCGCGCACACATACAAACACAAAACAACACAACATAAAACACAAATAAACATAACACAAAACACAAAACACAAAAAACAAAACATAATGAAACACAAAACAATGCGCACACACATACAAACACAAAACAACACAACATAAAACAAATAAACATAACACAAAAAACAAAACAAGACAAATAAAACAACAGAAAAAAACCAACACAACACAAATAAATAAAACAACATGACACAAATAAACAAAAAATAAATAAATACAACAGCACAAAACAATACAACCAAAAACAACACAAAATATAAAACACAACACAAAACACAAATAAACAAAACAGCACAAAACACAAACAACAGAAAAAACAAGCACAAATAAATAAAACAATACAACAACACAAACATAACATAAAACAAAACACAAACAAAACAATACAAATAGAAAACACAAATAAAACAACATAAAACACATGTAAACAAAACACAAATAAACAAAACAAACACAAAAAACACGACACAAATAATCAAAAAACGAATAAACAAAACAAAAATACATGCAACAAGAAAAATAAAACACAAAAACAATGAAAAGCAACACAAAACAAAACAAGACAAAATGAAACAAAACAACAAAAATAAATAAAA